ATATGCCACACCTGTGAGGTGGATGGATTATCTCGGCAAAGGAGAAGGGCTCACTAACACAGATTTAAACAGATTGATGAACAATATTTGAGTGAAATAGGCCTATCCTGTACATAGAAAAAGTCGTAGATCTTTAGGTTCAGCCCATAAAAAATGGGGGCAAAAACAAAAGTGTTGCATTTATAATTTTGTTACATATATATATATATATATATATATATATATATATATGTGTGTGTGTGTAAGGAAATTTTGGAATATATATATATATATATATATATATATATATATATATATAGGAACTTTTGGAATATATATATATATATATATATATTCCAAAAGTTCCTTGCACACAGACTCAATGAAACAAAAGGCTACCGGGTGCTTCAAACCAAGGGTAGGTTATGTGGATAAATATGAAAAAAGGTGAGCACTCACAGTCATTAGAAGAATTAAAAACTTGCAAGTTTATTGAAAATTCATAAAAAAAAAAAAGGTCGACATTTCAGTCCAAGTACTGGACTTTCCTCAGGATTAAGAACATAGCAGCAATGTAATCATTGAGTTTATATCACCAAATAATTAGGAAAATTAGAGAATAATTGACTTACCCAAGGTGAAGGTGCAGTGCCAAGAGCATCGCGGTGTGAGGTAAAACTGTGTATAAACAAATAAGAAAATAAGAAAGAAATAAATAATTAAACAATTAATGTTCTTGTTACAAAAGGCTTAACTAAAATAATGATATGAAAGCATCTCATTTAGACCACAGGGGGCAATAGTGTCCAATTACAAAATCCAATATGTCTCTCTGTTCAAAAGCAGTTTGCCTCGATCTCCCCCTCTTCTGGGTAGTGGTATATGCTCTATTGCAATGAATTTGAGAGCTGTTAGTGGATGTTGACTCAAGAAGTGTTTAGCCACTGGTTGTACAGAGTGTCCACCCCAATCTGCTACCCGTATGCCAGACCTATGCCCCCTAATCCTCTCGCATAGGGGGGTTTCGGTTTTGTGAATGTAGTCTAGACCGCACGGCACATGAGCTTGTAAATTACGTATGGGGTTCTATACGTAATTGTGTGTTGTATCTGGTAGGTCTTATTGCTGTGCGGGTGGTTAAATGTGCATGAAGGCACCAAATGGTCACATGTCACACATCCTAGGCAGTGTATACTTCCACATTTTAGGGATCCAGTGGTTTTTTTGTAGCTGTCTTCCGTGTCTGTATGTACCAACATATCCCTCAAGCTTCTTTTCCTTCTGTGGCAAACTAGTGGGGATTCTTTGAATACTTTAGGCAAGGTGTTGTCACACGAGAGCATCTTCCAATTCTGTTTGACAATTTTAGAAATAGTTGTTGAAGCATTATTGAAGGTAATTGGAAACACCATCCTTGGGGTCTTTGGTTGATCCTTATTGGCGCAGTTATACTTTGCCTCCTTTAGTGCTTGCAATAGGTTCTGACGCTTGTAGCCCCTTGCATATGATATAGGGCTATTCCAAGCTAGGGAAACAGAAAATATATGGCATAGTGCAATACTGTATATACTGAGATTGGGTATATGGGTAAGTGACAAATGCTCACTCACACTTTAACATCCCAAGAAGTGCTTTCAGAAATATGCTGTGTCTTCTTTGCTTCAGATACTTGGTAAATGTGAATCTCACATAAAAAACAAAGTGCAAAAAAATATAGATTGAATGACTGTTTGAGTAAAGAGTAAAAAAAGCATTTATTACTTACATCAAAGTAAATAAAAGCAGGTAAATCAGTCCAACGCGTTTCTTCCCTGTTAGGGACTTCTTCAGGGAAAATCTTTTACAAAGGTGATGAATAAAAATACATATAAACCTAGTTACAAACATCTCCCAATATATACCACCCCCAATCAGTCCCAATAGTGGTTCTGCAGGTGATTCCATTTCTCTTCAGCTGTTTTCAATTCAAATTTGAGTTACTTCCGGGTTTCGTGTATCCTGTGCGGTCACGTGATGTGCGTGATGACGTCATGCGTTCCAGCTATGCGTTCCACCTTCGTTTTGGCTGGCACTCATAATTACAAACTGAGATGTTGAAAAAAGTCCCAAAAAAGACTGTTTCTAAGTAGAAATACAAGTGGGGGGAGTGTACAAAAGGGAATTGCAAAGAGGTTAAAAAGATGTTGCTGGTTTAAAGTTTTTTTTAATAATCTTTATTTATAAGAAACAAGTTAAAGAGATATTACTAACTTGAAAATTTCTAAACAAACTTTATTTATAAAAGACAAAACAGACACACTAATAACCTGTGTTTCTTACATTAATACATTTATATGTCAGTGTGCATGAATGCTCAACTACATAAGGCAACATGCACACTGCATAATATCATATGCTCAAGCCAAGATGTTCTAAATAATGCCATAAATGCATTAAAGTGTTAATTCTATAAAAAATAAATGTATATAAAAAGAATGATAATAAAAAAATATAATAAAACATGGTAGTTTATCTACCTTCAGCCGAAAATCTGTAATTTTAAAATTAAAGTATATCTAATACTACTGAAAGACCAGGTATTTGTAGTTCCTTTATATTCAATGGTAGGAAAAAATAGAATAAATTCTTGGCTTGTTCAATGCCAAAAAACATATAGAGGGATATATGACAATATACACCACCCATAAAGAGCAAAAGAAAAAGAAAAGAGAACAGAGGAAAAAAGAAGAATTACTCCAAAAAGCACCACAGATCTATGTCTGCATTTAATCCTCCTGGTTGGAGGGTTTTTAATATATTGATCCAATACGTTTCTCGCTGTGCTAGTCTTTTAATAAGGTTGCCACCCCTCCAATGGTTGTCAATTATTTCTAGACCAATATAGTGGAAGTGTTTCCAACTAAAATTAAGACATGAATTACAATGCATGGGAACCGAATGTTTATCATATTTTTTTCTAATATTATTTTTATGTTCCAAAATTTGTTCTTTAAGTTTTCTACACGTGCGTCCCACGTATTGCTTTCCACAGGGGCAGTGTAGCAAATATATTACATTTTTACTATCACAGTTTATATTAGTCTTAATATTAAATTCTCTACCTGTAACTGTACTTTTAAACTTTGTTACTTTAAAAAGCCTCTGTGTCAAACAGGCTTTACAATGATTACATGAGCTAAAACCCTTTATTCCACTTTTCTTGTTTTCATGTTTGTTTTTTAAGGCATAGCTAGGAGCCAATAAGCTTTTCAAATGTTTTGCTTTCCTAAAAATCATAGGTGGCTGTTTGGGTAATGTTTCTCCTAAAATTGGATCTTTAAGCAAGATGCCCCAGTGCTTATTCAGAATATTTCTAATCTTTCGATGTTGGGTATTATACTGGGTAATAAATGCATATTTAAAATTTTCCCCTTTATCTTTGACTCTTTTCTTCTTTTTAATTAGATCCTTTCTATCTAGTCTTCCTGTTTCCTTAATTTCCTTGTCTAGTACACTTCTTTCATATTTTTTGGACATAAGTTTATTGCATAAATGTTTAGCTTGTTCCTTATAATCATAATTATTGGTACAGTTTCTTTTGATTCGAATTAGTTGGCTTTTAGGTATAGAATTTAGCCAATGTTCGTGATGACAGCTCTTTTTATGAATAAAGCTATTACCTTCTGTCTCTTTGAAGTAACACTTTGATTGAACCTTATTATTTTTAATATAAAATGTAATGTCCAAAAAATTTATACTTCTGGTATCAAATGTATGTGTGAACTTTAAATTATAGTTATTGATGTTAATATAATTCAAGAATTTTTCTAGTTCACTCTGAGTTCCCTTCCAAATTAGGATAACGTCATCTATAAAACGCTTCCAGAGGACCAGGTTTGCAACCCAGCTATGCCCCCTCCACACGGAGTTGGTCTACCAATCTCTCATGTATATGTTGGCATAGCTGGGGGCAAACCTGGTCCCCATGGCTGTGCCAGTTTGTTGAAGATAAAAAACATTGTTAAAGGAAAAATAGTTATGGTGTAAAATAAAGTGAATACCATCCAATACAAAATTTCTCAAATTATTTGATGTATTAATATCCTCCTTCATGATTTTCTCTACTGCTTGAATACCCAATTCATGTTTGATTATTGTGTATAATGAAGTAACATCAATCGTGACCCAAATGTAATCTTCCTCCCAGTCTCTATTTGCCATCAACTCCAAAATGTGAGAAGAATCTCATATATAGGAGGGGGCTTGTTGAGCAAATTTTTGTAAATAATAATCTATAAATTCGGAAAGGCGTGATGTAACTGAATCTATTCCACTTATAATGGGTCTCCCTGGGGGCTCTACAGGGTTCTTATGCAACTTGGGCAAAAAATAGAAAATCGGGATCACAGGAAATTCGACATGAAGATACTCAATATTTTTTTTAGATATTACATCTTTTTCACCGGCAAGATTTAGAAGTGTTTTAAGTTCTTGATTAAACTGAATTGTAGGATCACATTTTAATTTTAAGTACGTTCTATTGTCCCCTAAGATTCTATCTGCCTCTTTTAGGTAATAGTCTTTAGTCATTAGGACTATTGCCCCTCCCTTATCCGCTTCTTTAATGATGACATTTTCCATATTTTGGAATTTTTTAATACTAGCATTTTCCCCTTTAGTAAGATTAAATTTATTCTTATTTTTATTAGTTTTTTCCTGTAGATCTAGTTGTTCTAGATCACTACAGACCATATTACTAAAAGTTTCCAAATGATGGCCCTTCTGACTGGTGGGATAAAAATGTGATCTCTTTTTAAACTTTTTCTCCTCTGACTGTGAAATTTGGTTAGGAATTTCTTTAGCTGGATGTTTTAGAAAGAACCTTTTAAGAGTCATCTTTCGAACAAATTTTTGTAAGTCTATATAGGTGTTAAAATAATTCATACCTTGATTGGGTGCGAATTTAAGACCCTTTTTGAGGGCTTTTAGATCGTCTGGAGTTAGCTCTATATCTGTTAAATTATAAATGCCTAGTTCTATTTCTAATTCCTTTTTGGATTTTCCTCCCTTCGGAAGTTTTCCTCTGCTTTCTTTCTTTTGGGTGGAGTTTCCATAGGACTTTCCAGTGGGGAAAATCTGTTTTCCCACTGGTTGTTGCGGGGTTTGAAAAACTGGGTTATTCGCCTTTCTTTTTGGTCTAGCTCCCTCTCTAAAAAACGTTCTTCTCTCTCTTGAAAATTCTCCCGACCAGAACTGGCCATTTCTGCATATGTTCTCTGGTAAGTAGAGGTGCTGGGTCTCTGTGTGGAAATGCCAGGTTTCTGGACGGGGGAATTTCCTAAAGCTTTTCCCATTCTATCTTTGGTATGAAAGAAGGGTGGAGACTGTCCCCTTTCTCCTCTATTGCTATTACGCTTTGGTGATACAAATCGTTCCTTTCTGTTTAAAGGTTTATTCTCATTATTACCCCAAGTGTTAGAAGGTTTAGTGTAAAAATATTTCCTTCCTCTAGAATCATTTCCATATTTGTTATTATGGCGAATATGTTCTAAGCCAATTTTTCGTCCATAATCTCTATTCTCCCCAAATTTTCTATAATTGGATCTATTTTTCATCTTGTTAACAGTGGAGAAAGTATTTTTAAGTTTATCGTCTCTATCTCTCAATTTCTTTTTATTTTTAACATGAGCTATTTGATCCTCTAAATTTTTTATATTTTCATTAATAGTTTGCTCTCTCTCTCTAACTATGTCTTCCTGGTTTTCCATGCTTTTAATCTCATCTTCTAAGGTTTGTCTATTAGTTTTTTCAAATTCTATGTAGCCCCTTGCCAGGAATTTTCCAGTCAGCTTCTTCATGATCTCTTGTAGAACCCTTAAGTATTGGGCTCTCGGTAATGATTTTTTGAGTGCCATTGGATGTGCGCTATCATAATGTAAGATGGCATTGCGGTCAGTCAGTTTGGTGAATAAACAGTGGGATATTTGTTGGTCTTTTATTGAAATCTCTAGGTCCAGGTATTGAACCATTGTGGTGTTGATATTTGCTCTTAATTTAATCGGTTCTTTCAATGAGTTGAGATAATTAACCATTTGGGTAGCCTCTGATACACTCCCATTGCAGAAGATCAAGAGGTCATCTATGTACCTAAAATATCCTTGGATGTGATGGCCAAATTTAAACAAGATATATTGTTCTTCATAAACGTACATGTGCGCATTGGCGTACATCAGGGCCATAGCTGCTCCCATTGAAGTGCCCGCTGTTTGAAAATACCATTGTTGTTTGAATCTAAAATAATTATTGCACAATGTTAGTGTTAACAATTCCAATTTAAACTCCACTGGAGGTCCCTTATAGAAGGCAGAAGTAGTAAGGACCCACCTCATTGCCCCAACCACATGTTCATGTGGGATTACAGTGTAGAGGATACGTACATCAATGGTTATTAGCACCATAGGACCTCTTTCCAAGTCCAACTGCTGAATTCTGTTAATGAGGGTAGGAGTGTCTTTAATACACGTATGTAAGTTTTCCACAGGTGCCTGAAAAAGGTGGCTTTCATGTTATTATTTTATTTAAGCCACTTGTAACAAAAGCATTCATTTTTAAATTACATTTTATTTTATTTCTTTCTTATTTTATTTTATTGATATTTGTTTATATACAGTTATTCTTTTTGGTATATTTGTATATAACTTACCATACTCTGATCAATTAGATGCACATAATTAACACTTTGCCTCATCAGATGCACTTTACTTGCACATCAGTATCACTTTCTCTGTATTTAGTAGTTATGGGTAATTGTGCACATTAAGTATAGATGCACTTTATTAATTACATCTATTTTTACACTATTTGAATGGAGTAAATCACTCTTTATTATATTCTATATCCCTTTAGCTCCTCGGTATACTTATTTTGCATGATCTCGTTCTGCACAATCTTTTTAATCACTGTTATGCCTTTAACAGCATTCCCAGCACATAACCACTGTTATACACGTTCCCTAGGTGACTGATATTTACACGCGTCGCCAGGGTAACAGACGTTGCGTCATCACGTCACAGGGAGCGGAGCACGCGAATGCGCACTCCTCACACAGGGACGCTCTTGGCACTGCACCTTCACCTGGGGTAAGTCAATTATTCTCTAATTTTCCTAATTATTTGGCTATATAAACTCAATGTTTACCCCACTGCAATGTTCTTGATCCTGAGCAAAGTCCAGTACATGGACTGAATATAGATCTTTTTTTTAATGAATCTTCAATAAACTTACAAGTTTTCAATTCTTCTAAAGACCATGAGTGCTCACCTTTTTCATATTTCTCTCTCTCTCTCTCTCTCTCTCTCTCTCTCTCTCTCTCTCTCTCTGTATATATATATATATATATATATATATATATATATATATATATATTTATATATGCGATTGAGGGATTTGTCATTCTGGCCTTATGTTTTATTTTATCAAATTTAACTTCATATTATTTGCTTCGGAAGTGCATTGTAGGTCTATCTTCTTACAACAATATGTTTCCATGCAACTCCTCTAGTCTCTCAATGCATTTAGGGTCTCCTGGAAATGGCTGCTATAAGGCTTGGAGCTATCTGAGGTTTGTTGTGTATGATGTTGTGCCATTTGATCTTTTGAAACCTTGGCTGGAGCAATGACGATGATTCCTGTATGTGAAAGCAACAGTTTTAGTGAGTGAAGTCCCTTGTCTCATCATTTATGTTGGCAAGTATCTATTTTATGAAAGTGCAATGTACATTGAAAAAAAGAATACTTTTCCCAAACAGTAATGCTATTTTTTTTATTTTATTAATGTATAGGGTTCTACTAGTGGCCCACAATAACTAAGCTGCACATTGTGTTTTCCTATATCTTTAGTCCTGAGTAAAACTAGAATCACTATCAATGGAAACACTTTATGGCCCTGTATCACTAGATCCTTTATCAACTTAATGGCTTTCTTCATCTCCTGTCCACTCAATGATTTTATTGCCAACATTTCCTCAAAGGGGGAAGAAACAGATATTTTTAAGTGGATGTAGCACAAAAGTGAAGATATGTAGTGAATGTGGATACATACAAGTTATGAGAAGACGGGAGTCCCAGCTCTCTACCTCGCAGGCATTTCACATGCATATTTTTAAGTAATCAATGGTTTAGTTAATATTTATGAATAACATGTAATAGGGCTACTTTAATAGTAATTGACTTTCTTAAAGTTTTTGGACAGCTCTACCAACTGACATTGCATTATTTAGAAATATGATATATATAATTTGTGTCATTTTATAGCATCTGTTCCAAATTTTATTTCAAATTTTCAGATTTTATTTAAAGGATCACTATAGGATCAGGAACACAAACATGTATTTGTGACCCTATAGTGCTAAACCCACCATTTGGGTAGCTTGCCCCCCACTTAGCTCCCTATAAAAGTTTAAAACTAGCCATATTTCCAGTGCCGTGTGGGTCCGCTGGCGCTGACTGCCATGTTTGTTCATAGGGAAAGCATTGGATTGGCTAAAATTGGCATGGGATGGGGCCAAATGCCATTTTGCCCAATCAGGACCTCCTCATAGAGATGCATTGAATCAATGCATCTATGAGGAGAATTCAGCATCTCTGTGCAGAACGTAGGGACGCTGAATAGCAGGGCTGCTTACTGTGCAGCCCTGAGCCAGGAAGCACCTCCAGTGGCCATCTAATGAGTGGCTACTTGAAGGTGTCCCTAGGGGCAATGTAAACACTGCCTTTTCTCTGACTGCCTCTTCTCTGAAAAGGCAGTGTTTGCATGAAAAGCTTGAAGGGAGCGGTTATACTCACCAGAACAACTACATTAAGCTGTAGTTCTGGTGACTATAGTGTCCCTTTAATTTTTTGTATTGATACCAAGAAAAACACGTTTCTTTCTCCACACATGACACAATGACAAGATTTTGGGTAATTGATGATGTGCAACTTTCATCTACTTGCTATAATTACTTCACATTGTATGACATTCTCTTTATGTAGTCACATATTAGTAATATGGTTTGCATCTAACCCAGTTTCAAAAATGCATATGAACTTGAAAATATTGTTTACATACTCATACACAGACAGAATGTTGTGCATAAGTTGACTTTTCAGCAAGTAATTATTCATTGTGTTTACAAACAAATCAGAAAGCCAGAAAAAAAATGTATCTAAAAAATAAATTTCAAAGAACTTGCTTGAAACATTTGATTGGAGAACATTTTGATTAAACACCTGCATATTTCTCCAAACAGCACTCGTTTCAGAACAAAGCTCTTCAAGCTATTTATCTGTACATTTACAGTTGTCTGTTTTCTTTCTGAGTGCACAGAAGTCTAATTCTAGAAGATAACACTTGCAACCATGTAAGTCCATACATTTAAAAATAAACCAAACTAGGCAGATTGCACATTCAACACAAATATGGAACCAAAATATTTATTTCTATACAAATTTGATTTTTAACACGTGCATTTTTAACACAAATTAGAGGCTCTAAATTTAAGAGAAAAAAAAAAACTGTGCTAAATTTATGAAAGTAAATATGCAAATCAGGAAAAGAAAAATAGAATTGTTTGAAAAACAAGGAGTTGTTTGCAAAAGTGTTGGTAAATAGCTGCCATACGCTGTGTCTATTAACAGCTGGTAACTTGCAACAACTACAAATTACCACATTGCTGCTAGATGTTTTAGCATATTGCTAATAATTGCTGACACTACAGATACCAACTACTTGTAAATTAGAGGTGTGCTGGTAAAGCACAGAAACAAACCTAAGCATGACACAGGAAAGTAGAAGCTGGTAAGAATTAGTGAAGGGGTTGTAACATGACATTTTGTCTTAATAGGATATATAGGGATTTCCCGGTCATTAACCAGCAACCAGACTGCTATTAAGATTTGAGTTAAGCTCGGCAGCAAGTAGCTGACAGTGACAAAGCTGGGAACCAATCAGAAAGCAGTCACAAATTAGTGGTTGACAGGTCCCACAGAACATAATGTGAACCATTAGCAACTACTTAGTGACTGGCTCTCTGTAGCACCACCAGTAACTACCTGCAGCAACTGTTAACATTTTGCAGCCAATAGCCAGCTACTACTAACATACATTACTGGCTAGCATTTTAGCGATATAGAAACAAAAAATAGTGAGAGAAACCCAGCAGAGTGGAAGTTTCACTACGAGATTACTATAAATGGGTAGAAGCTACTTCATTAGGATAACAACACAGAACTTTATTAGCTAAGATTGAAAAGGAAAAAAAAAGGTCTACAAACATAACAAACTAGTGTGGCTAGTGGGCTGAAAATATTGTAACAACATGTATTTGACAGAAAAAAAGGGGATTAACCACTGTTAGATATAAGGTCAGTAAATAACTAGTTAATACATTTAGATCACATAGAAGAGGAGTGTCATAAAACGGGACACTGTGTCTAGGCAGCGTTGCCGCAATATATCAGATAGATTGTTTCAAAGTATTACTTAAGAGCTCTTGCTTAGGAGAGGTTGAAATCAGGTAATCAATTTACTCATGTGGTAGTAGGCAGGGAATAAGTATAGAAACAGTTATATAAAAGATATACACATTAAATAAACCGCTTGAGCCATAATGGCATAATTAGATGGATACTTAGAAAAAGGAGTAATGATACGGCAGCACAAAGTTAGATGAACAAAACGTCAATATGTACTCTGTCTATGACTCCTAAAAAAAATTAGATTATGAATAAATCTTAATGCTAGATAAACTAATAACTCCCTTGAACTGCTTCAAGGCAGTTCCCAGTACCCACTAAGGAGCCCTTTCCTAAAGCTGAAATAGCCAAACAACCTAGCCACACTGTGAAACAAACTAAGTGCACATCAGTGAGTAGTGCCTTCAACTCGACTCGCAAATCGATCATTTCTCAAGAGACATGAGCAGGGCACTTTCAAGTCTCTGAGTTTAAATAGGGTGTAAGCCCACCCATAAATGAGGTCATGCGCCCAATCCATCGTTGGAACGTCACATAATTATCAGGTGCCTTATTAAACGTCCGTTTTCTACTAATTAGCTCCTTAAAGGGAAAACCTCTAACCCAGCACTTAAAGTACTTTTTCGATATGATAACAAATTGCACTAATATCCAAAGTACATTGTATGTGGTAAAGTAAATCCCTATGTATCCTTATTGGAAAGATCACTGCAGTAGAATTTAA